GGGCGGAACGGATTAACCGGATTTACATTGAACCCTAGGGGGAAATTTACGTCGGGTTACGACCAACTCGGGACACACCCAGAGTCACGGAACGCATTAAGTTCATATCCCGAGGTACCACTGTACAAGTCCCAAATTCTCTGCTTCAAGTCAGCCAGAATTTTATCAAGGATATGGCAGAAGGCACCAGCAAGGAAAGGCTACGATATGCCAAATCATTGTTAATTTGCCTCCTTAGGGTAGATCTAAACCAGTCTAGCAAGATGAATGTAAAAATTAATGTAAAAGTTAATACAGGTAGTCCTCACTTAATGATAGTAATTAGGACTGTCACTAAGTGGCACTGTCATAAAGCGTGATGTCTCATGACTGCACCACTTAGTGACAGAAATTCCAACAATTCTGGTTGCTGTCATTAAGTGAATCACTGTGGGTCATTAAGCGAGGACATGTGGTTGCCAATTGCAAATTCCTGCTGGCTTCCCATTGACTTTGCTTGTAGGAAGCCAGCAAAGAGGTTGCAAATGGTGACCACATGACTCTGGGATGCTACGATGGCCTGAACTACATAAGTACCACACATTCAGTGCCCTTGTAAGTGAATGGTTGCTGAATGAGTGGTTGTTAAGCAAGGACCATCTGTAGTGGAGCAAGGATACAACCTTGTTTTACACCTTTGTCAGAAGATATGAGTTAAGTCCCAGGTGATTACCCATAACTTGAATGGTGGTACCATGGTGTAGTAATATAAATTAAGGAGACAGCTAATTTCCTTCAGTTTTCAGAAGATATTGAATCAAAGGTCGCCCTTAAGTCTGCAAAGGCAACATAAAGGACCCAATTAGCCTTTTACCCATTATCAGCAAATTATATTTTATATAACAAACTTTTGGACTAGATCCCCTTCAAGAAAACTTTGGTGCCTCATCAGGCTGGCTTCAGTTCAGACATTCCACCATGGGGCAATGCATTATATTATACCATCTTGTTGATAAATATGGCTATATAAATGTGATATATATAAATAAATAAATTATAACTGAGAAAGTCATTTTAGATTTGTTTTCAAGCTGCTTAGAGCTGAAGGCAGGAAATAACAAACTTCAAGCAGTGGATACCATCACGTATGATATTATGAAGTAAACAAACAGAAGCTTAAATTAAAATTAAAATAACATTGTTCAAAGTCTTAGTGGATTTCATGTTAAGAAAATTGCATGGGTATATCTTTAATCACCAGGTTGACTTGAGGGAGGCTTTAGCTTAGGTTTCACAAGATACGTGTATTTTCTCTCATGGCTTTAGTCATTTTCAGAAACATTTTAATTTTTTTTTAATATTGACTAGTATCTCCAATTGTTTCTACAAATCAACTGTAAATTTCTCAAACCCCTTCAACAAAAATAATTGACACATTGAATATTGAGACTGAAGACATGCCAATTTGCTAACTGTTCCATCAACACAATCTAGAAATATTACAATTAATACAATGCTATTTTAGCCTATAATTCAATTACCTTTATCAAATTCTAATAGTTTACTGAAATACATTTAAAAGGAATCTAATACTATAAAGAATTTCAATTAGATCTATTAATTTCAAATC